TTGAACTGGGTGTGGGTCTCTGTCTTTCCCCTGCCTCCTCTTTCCTCTGGCAACGAAGCTCTGCTCTCTGTCTGTCCTTTGTTTTAGCTGACGGTCGTATTTTGTTCAGGTCAATGGCCTCTCCTCCAGGTTCACCCCACCTACTTCTTTTCAGGACAGTCCTTCCCCTCACCCATATGGATTCGCAGAGGCGTTTCTCTAGCCCTCATTGGCCCAACCTGGGCTGGGGGGTCTCTGCCTTGGAGCCAGGGGAGCTTTTCGCTTTCACAAGGTGGCCCTTCCCCCACTACTGAAAAAACGGGGTGTGTGTGTCACCCCCCCACAAACCCAACACAATTATAAAGCAGAAATGCCTCAACTGATGCATTCTTGAGTTTAATTTATTTTTGTCATTTCCTGCCCCCCACCCCCCCTTCTGTAAATTGGATTAGGATGTTCTTACAGTAACTTCTTGATGAAGATTCTTCAAAAGTACAGTCCTTGATGACACGTCCTCCCACAGTACCAAAAAACTCCAGACAAGAAGTCACGTTTGAGGCTTACATGTTTGGAGTTCTGCAGGGTGTCTTTTAATCTTCCCTTCTCTGGCTACCTGCTAAAGCAATCCGATGGATATCCTCAAAGTGGAAAAAGAACTTACATTAAAATATGTTGCAGTACAGAGTGGAGAGAAAAGGAAGATACTTTCACATTCTTAGTATTTTGTCCATTCATTTTCTGACTTAGTCATAAACTACCACTTGGAGACACATTTCCTCTCCTCAGCTATAGTAGGATACCGTCTTCAAGGTCATTATTTCCAGCTTCTTTTCTGAGTTGATCTTTCATCCTTTTTCTTGCCAGGATAATCACTTTCCAGTCCATTTAATGCTCTGATCTTTTATTCCTACAGTGTTTTCCTTTCCTCAAGAGGCACAGGCATAACATCTCCTACAGATACTCTGACTAGCTTTATGAACGTTTTAGTGCTTAACTGGGTGCTAGATACCTGCATACCTTAGGTGGTCAAACAAGGAAGAGACCCTTATGTATCACACTTCCTTTTCCTTGTTATCAAGACTGAGGTTTCCTTTTCTTTTTGGATAGGCTCTCCATTCCACTTGCCTTGGAAGGCAGTGCACATTTTATGTCTTTGCTCAGTGCTGCTGCTTGGTTTATGTCCCAAGTCCCATTGCTTGATGCAAGGACTGGGGGCACTTCACATTGTTAAGTCAGTGGGGGAAGGAAGTACTCTATTATTAGGTGAGAAGTGTTACCTTGCAAGTAATAGCTGAGGAAATCAGTAGGCATTTAATATATGCACCCTCCTAATTATGGAATATGTTTGTTACTGAGGAAAAAGACAATTAGCTCTTCATTTTAAAGACTCCTTGGGACTAATTTATTCCTAATATGAGGTCTGAAATATCTGTGACTTCTGGACTTTTTGGTACCATACAAATTACAAATGACTGATCTCTTCAGTTTCTCTTTTTTGAAGTGTTACAGGTGTTCTTGTACCCTTCAATCCAGTGCATTTTGTTTCCTTTCACCAAGTCTGTTAATAGGGCTGCTATGGAGGTGAGGTCCTGTCCCTAACAGCTATTATAATTAGCCAAGTTATTTGCCTTTTTTGCCTTTGTTCTTGAGAGGGCATTGAGGTATGTAGGCCAGATTCTTTGCTGAGTGATTTACTGGTCAGTAAGCTATGGACTATGCTGTCCAAGAGAATAGAATCACAAGCATAAATGAAACTGTTGTTTTTTTATTTTGTTTTAGGCTTTATTTTTACTTTGCCAAGTCAGAGATGTTCTTGAATTCAGTCCTTTCTTTCTATAGCAGTTTGCACAATCCCGTGGGACTATCACCAAGCTAAAGCTGTCCACTGATAGCTTTAAATACTAAAGATACCTTGGTTGGACCACTTAATACTGACCATGCTGACAGTGTTCTTTTCTTGCTATTTTTTTCCCAAGGACTATTGCCAGAAGCTTCTTAATTAAAAATAGAGATGTATAATTTTCCTTGGTTACCTAAGCTCTAAGGATGTAATTCTTGTTGAGTATGAAGACTAACAGTCGTCAAGCAGTAAGCAACTGCTTTTCCTCTTTGTTTTTGTGTTTTATGTGTATATTGTTGATGATGCAGATAGAGACATCGCGTGCTTGAGCTGGAGTAACTGACTAAGCCTTTATCGGCACAGGGAGACGGTCAGGTATTGTATCTCATCATGAGGAGAAGTTGCCTTGAACTGGTGGCTTAAATACACCTCTGAGCCAGGGGATACCAAGATAGAGGAGCTAGGATTTCACTGGTGAGTGGAACAGATCACATGATGAGGATTCTGGCACTCTCTCTATGGCATACTGGAAGCAAGCATGCCAGCGGCCACTGGATTGATAGTATCAGCTTCAGCTGTGGAAAGTGTCCCGGACTGGTACGCAAGTAGGGGGGTGTAGCAGCTCTGGCAGGCAGTGGTGATACTAAAGAGCTTCCTAAACCTCTGAAAATTACTCTTAGTGACTGCTTATCTTCAGTCCTGAGGACCCACAAGCAGCAGAACTGAAAATGCCAAAGGATTATAATGTTTTTCAAATGCTGATTGCAGCCCTTTGCTGTTTTTATCATCGTAAGTCTATTATCAGAGTCAAGGTAGGTGCCCTTTTTCAATAAGAAGTGTTTGTTTTTATGTGATGGTTGGGTACAGTGTGTTTCTGTTCTAAAGAACATCTTTAGAATTCACCATTGTCTCAGGGAGAAGCTTAAACAACTTCCAGTTTTATGAGCATGAAGCTGATTTTCTTTATGTTTAGACACTAAGTTAAAAACACACTGGTTTGGGACTTGCTGAAAAGAATTTTAGCAAAGTTTCAAGGTTTCAGAATCAGACCACTTGATTCCCTGACTTTTTCACCTGCCTACTGAAAACATAGCCAATTTTGCTCAGGAGCTCTGTTTTTTTTTAAGCACTTTGGAGAATTTTGGACTTGTCCTTATATTTTAGAACTTTGAAAATTACAAAATGCACAAAATCATACGCTCATAGAATGGTTTGGGTTGGAAGGAACCTTTAAAGATCTAGTCCAACCCTCCTGCCATGGTCAGGGACATCTTTCACTTAGTGAAACATGCATTATATGCACTATATGGAAAGAAAAAGACTTTATAAATGTTTCAAGCCACACTTATGGAAGTGTCTAAGTGACTTGGGAATTGACTTGTAATCAGTTGGTGTGTCTAACTGCTTTTGAGGATCTGTGAACTACACCTAAGCTTTTAAATATTTTTATTTAAGATTTATGCTTGAATTGTTCTTTGAATAACAGTGTCAGCTCTGTAAATCACTGTGTATAGATTTTCTGGAGCACTTGTAATGAGGAAGGATGTGAAGGTTGCTGTCTTCTGGCCTCTTGGCTTTCAGACTTTGATGGAGGCACTTAAAAGTTGAGAATGGCAGCCTCCCTTCTCTCTGTTCCAGTAATTTAGCCTTTTAACTGTCCATTTCTGAAAGGGGGATGTGGGGCTCAGCCTTTTGGACAGACTGAAAAAGTGACTCTGATCAGACTCTCTTCTCTTTCTCACTGGGACAAATGTCAGAAATTATTATCAGAAAAGAGAGCTAAAGATGGTTTCCAGTTACTGTAATTAATTTTTGTTGTCATTCCAATTTTAAGCATAAAGCTTAACTCTTCTGTTCTTTAAAAATTACTTTGGGTTTTATTGTTGGCTGTCAGAACAGTTATAAAACCGTTGTTCTTGACCATGCATGCCCTCTGTTTAACATGGCATGAATTTCTAATACCTAAAATAACGGTGGTGTTGTCATGGCAACTTTCCATTTGTTCTAATCCATATAGTCTCTAGAGAAACAGAAACATTAGTAGTGTTTGCTCTGTGGAGGGTAAAAAATAAAACCTTTTATGTAGAAATAAATTACAGCTGGGCTCTTTCAAAAATAAGGTTCTATTTAAAGAGATTTGCAGCATTTAAAATAGATTTGAATGCACGTGTTCCAGCATGCAGATTTAGCATTAGTTGCATCTGATGAACTGCTATTTTAAGAAGTTCTGATGGTAGGAAACCGGGGTGCGATTGTTGAAGAGAAAGTGGCTGTAGGTGGTGGTCAAATCAAGTGAGGTCTGCACCTTGAGGCCAAATGATGTAGTTCCATGAAATGCCAGAGTGCCTAGATGGTGTGAACAACTGAGCCTAAGTTGTCTTCTTACTTAATTTGTGATACCACTTCAAGCAAAATCAGTTTGTGTAATTAGATGAGATTAAGTCTTAGTTTTAGTAGTAATTAATTAATTAATTACTATTTAATCTTTAATTGTAATGAAATACCAAATTGATCCATAAATAAGCATGCTGAAGTCCACAACTACCTCTGAGAGATTCAGATTTTTTGCTGCGCTGAGATAAATTCCTTTTAATTGTGTTGTCTGATGTAATTGAAAACAGTATGTGGCCAAGCTCAGAGATGCCTCGTTATGTCCCATCAAAGCACAGGAAACAGCACAGCACTTGAGCACTCACGTTTTGCTATAATTCATTTTAGTGTTTGAAATTAGGATCTCGATAGCAGATGTTTGGTTTGTTTTCCCATACATTAATAGAAAATAGAATAATCAGTGCAGAAGATCTGAACTTGGATTGACTCATTCTTCAGTCATGTTGTATCAGTACCTTTTACAATCCCAGTTGGTTTTAATAGCTGTTTACAGTTAAGGTCAGCTTCTACATTTGGGGAAGACAAAGGGAAACTTCAAGACAAGGGGTTCCTATTTGCAGTTAAAAAAAGGAGAGTGAAGAGAGAATTCTAAATTGTCACTTACGCCACTTCCAAGTCAAAATACTGTTCCTTAATTTTTGCATTTTTTGAAAGTTAAGAATTAAGTTAAGACTAAATCAGTGATAGATGGTAACTCAAAAATGAAGAGGTCTAAATTAATAAAATTATCTTTGCTACAAGGCAGTTTTTTTAGTTCTAGTTAGTATTTTTGTCATGATCAGAGGGAAGGACCTTGAAGTTCAAATATTTTCATTCTTAATTCTCTGCTATGATTCAGCCTCAGCTGAAGCTGCACAAAAGGGGAAAGCCACTCAGTTTAGTCAGGACTGCCAAGTTTTAAAACTTGCAGCACGTTGATCTAGCTCATTACTGGGTAATGTACTAATGCTATGAATGTGCCATGCGTAAGAAGCCTTTTATAAGCAGCTACTTATTCTAAGTGCCATCTCTTATCTTGGATGAGTTGCAAACCCTTTTTATAGACAGTAGATCTTAATTAATATTTCTTCAGTATGTGATGATCTAAATCTGTGTCACTGGCATCCTCGGGCTTTGTGTATCCAGTTTCAGCATGTATGTGGAGGCAGTTAGATTTGATAACATGAGCTTACGAGTCATCACCACCCGGCATTATAGATCTGCCTTTTTGATGTTAGATTTGTTGTTGTTGCAGTGGGCCAGATCAGAAAAGACTCACTTACCAAAATTATGTGAAATTTTGGTCAGCTCCCTGAACTTTGATTCCCCCTGTCTTGCTGCTTAGTTTGAGTTTTGATGAGTCTTATACTATATAACTTTTTTTAATTTCCCATGGTAATTTTACACTTTTTATCAAACTGTCACTGCAGTATGCCCTCTATCATAAATGTATATAGCACAGGGTGTAAGTGATTCCTGTTGGAATGGCAACATTCTCCAGTAGGTATTTATGCATTTACCTTCTTGGTAATACCTTTCATTTAGATATTTCTCAGATAAAACAAAAAAACTACTCAACTTCTGAAAGGCTAATTTAAATATCAGCTGGTAGAGCTGTGCAAAGCATCAGGAAATAATGGAGATTGGATGGGAATGTGGCCACCTTTAGTCATGTACCTGTATCAGTCCTTGGCTATGCTTTAAGTAAATAATACTTTGCCAGAAGGATACAAAGAGAGGTGATACGAAATTTCCCATTATCAGAACTGAAGGAGATGATCTAGCTCGACAGATTTTGGACAACTTCCAAGCTATGTCTAAAAAGTAAAAGTCTTTCCCTCATCATTGAAGTTGCTTAAAACAACAAAAAACCCTAACTTGACCACTTTAGAGAGGAATTCATTATTAACAACTGAGGTAAGCCACGGAAGCTAGAACACATAAGGTGCAACTTTGGATATATATGCAGAAACCTGTGAGTTTCTCTCTCGGCCATTTAGATACACATGTGCTTCACTGGAGTTGTTGCAGGTATGAACTGGAGAAAGAATCCACTGCCAGTAGGCAACAGAAATAACTGTGGGACTTCTGTTTTATTTACCACTGCACTCATACAGTAGATTATTCAGCACAATTAAAAATTATTCTAATATAACATGATAAATTCAGCTAGGATTGTTGACATGAGCTTGATATAGCGAGTTTCCTTTGGAGGGTGCCAAACACTCAAGTGAAAGTAACCTTTTGGATGCACAAACAAGAGATTGTTGTGAGAAATTCCCATTAAAATGCATTCATAAGTTTCACAGGTACACCATATTGTGGTAGTTCAAGCCCTCTTTACATTTACAAAATGTAAAATAGTACATCAAGGGTAACTTGTTACATCTGTAAGCACAGTCTTTTTTTAGTTTAATGGCCCTGAAGTAGAAATCCTTTGTGAAACATATAAACTTGTGTGGCATTTATTAAAAACACTAAAATAACTGTACTGACTGGAGTTCTCCCCCTCCTTCTAAACTCTTGGCTCTCTAGGTTTTCCATTGAGTATGTAAGCAGGATTGAGGGCTTTTGCTGGAGGTTGATAATATTGTATTACTAAATAGTTTTGTATTTTTCTTTTAAAGACCTGTTCACAAAAACTCAGCATGGCAGGAATATTTAAAAATAGCACCAGGACTGGAAACAAAGTGACTAAAATGTGAATAAACAGTTCTAGAAAGCACATACTTAGAGTACTCCAAGTTCTTTGTAGGTCAGGAGAAGCATCTGTGTTTGAAAAGAGTTGTGTTGACTTGATTTGTTTTTATATTCCCAGGATCTCTGACAGGGTTGTTCCTAATTGGAAATCTTAAAGAATTTAAACTGGAACCTTCCCTGTGTTGCTTCAACTGTGTTTTGCTGCAGATTATACTGAAGTCTTTAATTTTGTCCTAGATTGATTGATTGATTGATTGATTTTTACCATCCACTTCACTGTCTAACTGTACATGTAAATTCAGGTTTCTTTCTGTCATTGAGTAGAAGCCAACGAAGTGTCTTAGACAAAGACATAAACTGAAGACATACTACTAAATGAAGGTTTGTCACTATGAAGTTAGTGCAAATATACAGCATACCATTCCTGTCCATTAACTTTTGGGTGCTATTGGGAAATGAGCCTGAAGTGTCTGTATCATGTTGTGTGGAAGAGGTCACCTTTTATTTTAAAAGAAAGTCCATTGACATAGCTAACTGCGCTGTTCTAAGCTTACACTCTTCCTTATTTACAGACTAACATGCTTGTGTAGGCTGTGCCTGGAATGATTTTTGAGCCCTTACTTGCATGATGGGGAGTTCAGTGTATGCAGATTCTTGCAGGACCAGAGGCCTTGGGTATAGCATTTAGACTAGAAAGGCATAAGCTGGTATGAATACAGACAGTTCATCGGTCACACTTCTCCTTTAATGGATGTAGGTTGTATAAGAAATCAGTCTCAGACAACAAAAAACTGTCCAGGAAGACATGCCATTACTAAACTTGCTTGCCGAGGCAGTTTCCCCTCTGTGTATTTTGGGATTTGTGCTAGCCACAGAGTTCTTCCACTAAGTTCAGAGTTGCATAGGGGTTATTGAAGCATGTTTGCTTCGTCTCAGGAGATGTCTGACCTCTGGCAATCAGAGTATGCTCAGTGTGGTAGACCATGGTGGAGAGGATTTTTAACAAATCCATAACCATAAATCTTACCAATTTAGTTGATTTGGATTTCTTAAATGTTTTTCTCGTTGTGTTGCTAGATGTAATTCAAGTGCAATATATGACTTACTACGTTCATTTAAGTAGTGAAAAATCCATTTAACCACCATAAGAAATTCTGGGTTTCTCTGCTGTATTTGTAATTCATGCATATCTGTAACCTCATCAGCCTGTTATTTTAAGATAATTTGTATCAGAACAATGGATGAAATTAGTCTGTACACAAAGACGGACTATAGCTCTTTTTGTTGGCTAAGAATCCCTCTCCTAAGCAAATTCAGTTACTGCATTTGTGTTCTATAGTCTATTCCATTTACAGTAGCTTTATCTACCACTGAGATACAGTGAGATGTTTTTGGAATGATGGTAACAATTTGTATAGTAGAAGTTTTTAAGATCTCGATTCAGCGGAAAATGTCTTTCAAAAACTTAAACACAGTTCATATAAAAGTAGCAGTTCCTTTCAGAAAGTCAGCAAAATACACAGCTATGAATGTAAAAGGTTTGTATACACTACAGCTGAATGCTGTTGTTTAGATTGGAAGGGACGCTTCAAAAGTTGTCTAGCTGTTTCCTTGTGTAGTCAGAGGAAATGTGCTCTTGAAAAGTCTCCTCTTAATTTGTGTGCTCTTCACTCTACCTTCAGCTTATGCAAATGCTGTAATAACTTGCTATCATTCTGTAAGATGTGGGAGTGAAATGGTTAACTGTTAATTCTGGAATCAATGCCAGTCAGCTTTAAATGGATACCTAGCCATTTGAGTTGGGAAATAAAGGTAGCAGGCATGTGCCACTAGTCCTTTGGCTATGTTAAGTCTGATAGGTCACAGAAGTTTGGAGTGGAGGAGGGATTTTTGTCATTACTTGTCTCTGTTTTGATACTTCGATATGCCTTTGGACTTGAGTCCTCACCAAGCCTCTTCTGTGACACTTTCTACACTCAGTAACTTAATCCCTTTACGTTGTACGTGATTTTATGAAAGAGCCCTTGCAGTTAAGATACTTTTTTGAGGCATGGTTTATTCCTGCACAGATTTTTCTTCTCATAAAGCTTGGGAGGAGTTGGTGAAAGACATTGTGACTGTACAAAAGCAAAAAGGATTTACTCCTTTTTGAAAATGATTGTCCATTTTGAACCACATTTGTATGGATAAATAAAATATCTGTTGCCTTCCTGTATAAGCTACTACACTCATTTGTGTTTGTCTAAGAGAAGCCTTAGTTTTCTCTGAGAAAACCAGAGACGAGAGGAGAATTTATCTCAGGACTTCTCTGGGCTCCCAACATATTTAAATAGTCTTGGCAGCAGGATGCCTCTTCTGGCATTATTCCACCAAAAACCTGCTGTCTAGTAATCTGTTGTAATTTAGTCTGCTTCAAATTGCAGGGAGGATTGTTGAAAGAAGTGCTAAATGTATGCCACCTGCTCCCACCGTTAGGTGCTGTGAGCATTCAATATGAAGAAGAAAATGCTATAGAGAGCAGTGTTCACAGAAAGAGTAGGATTGGTGGGTGAGCATTCACAGTTCTTTTTTAAATAATGCATGTGTTGCATATTTACATCAGTGTGTCAGTGAAGGGAACCTGTGAGCCTTGGCTCATATCCAGAGCTAAGAAAAAAAATCCATAATGCACTGGGGAAAAATCGCATTTTAATCTGCTCCCCAGCTGGAGGCCCCTCTCTTCCCCCTGCCACCCCTCCTTTTTTTTTTTTTTTTTAAAAAAAAAAGTACCTTCTTTTAAGAGAGGGTATACTCTAATTCTTTGATTAGTATAGAACATGTTCCCTGCAATGAACCTGTTTCACTTGGGCATCTTAGGCTTTTGAACTCTTCAGCAGCAGTAAAGATGGGCTGGAGTCCCTAACTCTTGGAGAACATAAGGAAGTCCAAAGAACTTCCCTCCACTGATTGCTTATGAAGCAGTACATGACAACTCTCTAGAGAAGGTACTGTGCTTTACTTTGTTAGCAACACTGCATCCACAAGAAGGACTAATGAGCCAGAGTGGTCCAGTATGGAAGCTGTACTCCAAGAAGAGATGAAAATTGGAATTTTCCAGAAAATCTTACAGGAGTTGTATGCTGGTGATGGAGATGTTGCCAAGCAGATGTAATGCTTTTTGTGCTAAGGGGCAGCAAGAGCTTTTTTCCCTTACGAAGGGAGTGTCCTGGACATGCGTGTTTAATGGCTCAATAGTAGTAAGCCTTCTAAGGTTGAAAATTTACTTTGGCAAACTTTTTGGTTTTGGTTTTGGTTTTTTTAGTGCCACAGAAATACTGAACAACTACATATGTCCAGGTTAGCCTGTTGTTGCTTTTGGAACGTTCTTAATTGAATGGGTCTAAAGAGGGTGAGGGGGAAAGAATCTGAATTTAAACGGAAGTTTAAACAGGAGGAAGAATATTGGAGCAGGGCATTTGGGTCCAGCTCAATTTTTGGGGTATAGTTAGAATTCTTATTGGGAAGAGGAAGTAAGAAGAGTGACTTTGTAGGTGTGTCATTATTAGCTTGGTGTGCAAACAGAACACTGTGCTCTGTTCTGTGCAGGGTATAACGATCACATTTTATCTCACTGAACGCTGGATTTTGCAAATACAATCTGGAGAGTGAAGCCAAACCAGCCTGCTGAAGGCAGCACCCGCATTCCAGTGGCTAGTGCAGATCATGTGATGGAAGTTATAACCCAGGTAAATGTTAATCACTAAACTTGGCACAGTTGAAGCTTTTAATCTTTTATTGCAGTTTTCTAGGGAGAGGCAAGTTATGGACAACAGCCCAGAAAAACTGAAGAAGGAGTTAGAGGAAGAACTGCAGCTAAGCAGTGAAGACTTGCGTAGCCATGCCTGGTACCACGGACGTATTCCTCGGCAGGCAAGTAGTCTTTGCATTGACAGATGTGCTTTGAGCTTTGAGAGACAAGCAGAACTGCACTAAAGTAGTGTACGCGTCTCCGATATCTGCGTTAATTCAGTAGAAACATAATGCTTATTCATGTGAAAGCTATGGTGTTTATCACAGCTTGGCATAAAATGAGGCTGAGGAAGGATTCAGGGCAGACACTCGTGGAGAATACAGATATATCGGGATTTGTGCGCACTCAATAAAGGTGGAAATGGAATTTAAGCTTTATAGGAGAATACTATCCCCACATATTGTTCAGACACGCTGACGTTAATTTGGTTCAGTACTCGTAAGCAAAGTTAAAATGTTGTTGTTTATTTTCTTGCTCTCACTTGGAGTTTAGAGGAGGGAAAAAAAATAACCACAGAAAGCTCTCTGCAGTAAGTTAATGTTGATCCTTACAATCCTAGTTAAAAATATGTTAAAGCTGTCGTTGGGCTGGAGTTTAGGTTCCCAGAGCACCTGGAGCTCCCCCTGCGGGCCTCCCTCCTGTGTCTACCGGGCTCCCACCAGAGCTGCCAGCTGCCCTTCACCTAAATAAGCAGCAAGCACAGCAGCCTCATACACTGTGCTTAAGATTAACTGATAGATGCATAGTTTATCACATGAAAGGACTAACTGAAAACAGGAAAAACAGGATTTTTCTGACTCTTCTGAGTACTGTGCAGTATTCACAAAGAATAAAACAGGAAAGCTTCTGTCACTTAAGGGAAATCTCTGGGGTCCTCTAGTAATGGCTTCTAAACTTCAGTGTGACTGTCTGTTTAGCTACTTTAAAATCCTGAATCATTGTTTTCCCTTCATGCCTTATTTTCTATTAACAAACTAGAGTAAATATCTATGCAAAAGTGGGTCATGTTTCTGGCTGCTGGGCATTTTCCAAGAAGCCCCTCCAGATCTCTGCTGTGGGTTGAGCTCTTAATTTTAGAATTGGAGACATCATTCTTCTACCACACTTCATGCTTTGCTTTGTATTTCTGGCTTTGTCTGTCTTTCCAGAGCAGCCAAATGAAGTCCTATGTTTAAGAATATTTTGTTGTGATGTGCTGTTTGATTACTTGTTTTCTGATTCTGAAAGTATTTTTTTGTATAATTCTTTTTCCTCAAAGGTGGCAGAAGGCCTAGTTCAGAGAGATGGAGATTTTCTGATTAGGGATTCTCTTTCCAGTCCTGGGAACTTTGTTCTTACTTGTCAGTGGAAAAATACCTCTCAGCATTTTAAAATCAACAGAACAGTTCTAAGACTCAATGAAGCCTACTGCCGTGTTCAGTATCAGTTTGAACTTGAAAGTTTCGACAGCATCCCCGGCTTAGTTAGATGCTATGTTGGGAATCGCACACCAATATCAAAGCAGAGCGGAGCAATTATTTTCCAGCCGATCAACAGGACTGTGCCTCTCAGGTGTCTAGAAGAAAAGTATGGTATAACTCCTGTCCGACAAAAAGAGCCAAGTATCCCTGAAGGAAAAACAGAAACTGCAAAAAGGCTGAGTCTTGGTGTATCCAGCATGCAGTCCCCAGAGCAGAGCATACCCAGAGGAAATCTTTTGAGGTACTTACATTTTGCTGTCCTTATGGAGGGAAATGAGGTAACTCTATCAGCTCCCACTGTAAGTGACGTGGATTTTCACCCTGATTTTAGATGGAAGGCTAGGCATGAGGGTTTGCTGATTTTTAGCAGAGGATTTTTTAGGACCTAATTTTTAAAGCTTCCTGATGTTGTTAAGAAGATGCTTAACTGCTTTGTGGTTACAGGGCTTGATCTGTAGAAAATTTAAGCTACACTGAGGAGGTAAAATAAGTGGGGATGGATGAAGCCATGATGTAAGAGGCAAGGCTGCACACAGTCTTCACTCATCATGTGACCTAGAGCATGTGCCAGGTTTATGGGGAGGGTTTTACTCCTGATACTTGTATTACAATAGTGACAAAATAGTGCTTCCTGAATGCCATTTGATTAGGCTAGCAAAAGAAATAATTCTAGCAGATAGGTAAATGAGAGCAATAATTGGATTCTGAAAATATCTTTGGAAAAACAGGATGTGTGTCTGCAGTTCCAAAGGAACTAGTTGCTTGAAGATGGTGATGGCTTTGGCTCTGGTTCACCATTTTCAAGTTGATGGATATTGGGGAGAGGGAAAGAATAATTCATTTGAGATCCACAGAGCTACAGCAAATGTAGACTCCAGAAGCACAACAGCAGTGCAACTTCTTCTTCAGTGACTTGGCAAATCCTGCCTACTATAAAACGAAAGATTAAAATAAAATCTTGCTGCTGCTCCAGGGAAGTCTTTCTTTCCATATTTGACTTCTGAAATAAAAATACTAAATGTGGGATAATGGATCCTAATTTCAGTGTCCAAATCAAATGTTCCATGAAAAAGTCTCAACATTCAAAGAAATACCCTCACAAATGCTGCAAGGTCACATGTATTATAGCCCATGTCACTGCTACAACAGCATTGAAGTACCTTTTATTCTTAAAAGCTACCCCAGTGGAAAGCTAATGATCCTTGCCCTGGTTATGTTATATTCTGGCTATTAGTTCTGTATGTTAAGAGCGTTGGATGTATTGATATGTTTTGTTTGCATTTTTATTTACACTAGAAACAAAGAAAAAAGTGGTAGCCAGCCAGCTAGTTTGGATCATCTTCTGGAGAAAAGATTCCCTCTAAAGGCTCACCAGTCAGAGAGCTATCTGCTAATAGGTATGTTTTGTAATTGAATGTTTCACACTTAGAATCTGTGTGTGCCCAAGTGGTCTGATACACTTCACACCCTTGCATGTTCTGAGTACTGTACATACAGTTATATTTAGTGACCAATGTAAGCCGTGATTTCATACTGCTTGCTCTTTAAGTCATTGGAACTGGTTTTTTATTTACAATGCACCGGCTAGTTGAGTACCTTAGCACACAATTCAGTAGGCTTTCACACCAAAAAAGTGACAGCTAAAGTTGGAATTAATATCCTTTTTGACGGTATTACCTTTCTTCACTTGTGCTTTACCAGAACTTATTTGTTTCACTCATGTCATTCTGACAGAAGTCTATTAAGTAGAAGTGGTGTTTCATGGAAATCCCGGTAACTGCTTTTTCTCAGGGTATAAAGTATGCAGGTGTGGTAGTGTTCTTCACCAGGAGAAAAGCACTACCATGGCTTTTGTACTCAGTTCTGTCCTGTCTCTCTGCATCTCTCTCTTCCTCACATCCCTTTTGCTTTTCATTCCTTTCAAAACCTTTGCTGCTGTCTGGCTCCTTTGCCACTGTCATTGTCTTCCTCCAGTGATACAAGGTGTACACCAGCATTTGGTCAGTTGTTGATCGTGGCTTTTTCTTTCTCAGATTCTTCACAGATTTAAGCAATTGTTTCCAAGCTAACATACTGTCTAAAGAAGCTTGCAACGATGCATCTGTTCCCATGTGGACAAATTCTAGTGTTTGACTTCCAAGGCTGCTAGTAATTTTGAATATGGCAGCTGCTAAAGTTTATAGTGCCTATTGTGGAAAGAATTCTCAAGACAGAGATAATAATATTAAGTATTTCTGCAATGAGACACTATTTTGATAGAAAGGGTGTGCTCCTGTGTGTAACAGTGGGATGGACAGACTTTCATAAAACAAATTCTGTCCATTTGTAATTTAATTTATTATCTTATGCCAATCCATGGCTGCAAAAACCTTTTGTTTTGGTGCTATAGCGGTTAACCTGAAGAGTGCTGCTGTGCATTTTGTCATGGGTTCCTCCAAGCAGGTTCTGGAGTCATATGTCATACTGCTTACAAGTGGTGACAAGCTGTGATTTGCAGATTTTGTTGTCTGCATAAATTGAGAGCCAGCTGGAAACAAGTAGTAAAGCCTGCATGATGCAACTGGCCGCCTTGCTGGAGCTACCAGCAAATGCACTGAGAACTGCACATTGGGAATGTCTGATACAGGATTCAGTCCTGTATCGGGTGCCGAGGTTTGCATATGCAGTGAGTACAGGATGAGACATAAATACACAGAAGTATATGGATGGTTTTGCCAGCTCTTCAAACCAGCTACCGTTTAGCAAAAAGATTAGTATCCCTGAAATTCATTCCTTCCATACCTCACTGCAGGTTCAGGCTTGACTTTGGGAAGCTCTTCTTTGATCTCAAACTTGTCGTTCTCAGAAATGACTCATCTTTTATGTGGTGTGGCTGGAGGTTGCTGTTTTTGTAGCCTAGATCAGGTTACAAAGAAACTTCCTATTCCAGGCTATGGAAACTGTCCAGCTCTGACAGTATAGCCTATGTATGCAGCAGGGACTGGAATTACTGTCAGCATTACCACAGAATAATATTACAGTGCAGCTGTTCTGTGTATTTGGGATTTTGGGAGGATCAGCAAGTGAATGAATTTTGCTGGCTAGCTCATTCCTCAAAATATAATTTCAGATACATTTTTGTTAGCGAATAATTGGCATGATCTGACAATATTTTCCTCAGGAAATAGCATTAAGAGATGAAGCCTGTGAAAGGTGTAGGCATCAGGAATTGAATATGTTTGGGTCTTCTAAATTACTGTTTTCCCCTGCAGGTTCAAGACATCCATCTCGATTACCTGAAGCAGATGGAGACTCCTGTCCAAGCTCTCCTGCATTTAGAACAGGCAGTGAACCTTCTCTAAGCCCCACAGTTGTTCAGAAAGTCACCTCTGAGTCACAAATAGGAGAAGCTCTTAGAGGATCAGACAGTCAGCTCTGTCCGAAGCCTCCACCTAAACCCACTAAAGTACCCCTGATGAAGCCCCTGGATGCTCCTTTGGCTTCCCATGGTTCAGAAGGACACTATTGTGAACTAGGCCCTGCCAGAGATCCTGCAGCAACAAAACAACATTTATGTCAGAAAAACAGCTATGTGGAACATCTGACACGAAAGGAGAGGGGAACACACTCATTCAGGAACTCTGAAACAAACTATTTGATCCTGGAAGATGACCCTACAATGAACTCTGCAGATCCTTTAGAAGCTTCATCTGAGATGGCTGAAGAAGAGAGCATCTTTTCTGCACCTGTTTTTGAGACAGTGTCTACTTTTAAACCTAATGATTTTGAATCCAAACTACTTCCTCCTGAAAACAAGCCATTGGAAACATCAATGTTAAGAAGAGTTAAAGAGCTTTTCACCAACAACAATCCAAAGATTATTGCACAGCATATTCTTAGAATGGACTGCAAGGTAAAAAAAAAATCTTACATTTTATTTTATATTGTGCAAGTTCAGACATTTTAAAGAACTGATTTCAAAAGATAAATGGGTAGATTTGCAGCTACTCTAATAAATGTATTGACTTGCTTGCAGGAATTTTTAGGGTGGTTTTTTTTTTTCCATTTGAAGAACAAGAATGTTAATAAACCCTTTGGACTAAAGGTCTTCCACCATCCTTGACTTTAGACTCAAATTCTCAGTGTTCTATACATCTTTTTATTCTCTGTGAGTTGCTGTATATCTGTGAATCAGCCTCTCTTCTGTAGCAGAGGAAGAGCTCTCTATGCTGTAAACCATTGTGGAAAGAACTCATGACAGGAAATAGCTAGTTAGCTTGCAAGGGCAAACAGTGGACAGACATTAGCTGGTTGCCATATTGCTGTCTGTAATAGAAGATGTTCAGTGGAACTTCTGAAACTAGCTGCTCTTCTAATCTTTGTCTGAATCTCTGCCTTACAGCTGGATACGTGGGCTGGGAAAATAGCTCTCAGGACTTCTGCATTTCTCTCCTATGAGAGAACTGTATTGCTAGTGGAATTGTTTAGAAAAGACGTAAAAACACAAATAACTATTTTTCACGATGTAGACTTTGTTCAGCTGACAGGGCTTGGAGATCGGCTATTGGATCAGAAATATGGAAAGACAGGGGAAGTCATCTCATGAGATGGTGACTTTGTGTAATAAAAGAAATGCAACTGCAGTTGAATCTGCACCACTTTGCTGGGACGACTGAGTGCTCTACCTGCCACAGAGCAGCTACAGGAACCAGGTGTCACAGACTTTGTTGGTTTTTGGTGGTGGTTGTTTTAAGAGCAGCTTGAGAAGCAACATACATGGCTACTTACTGGGCAACTCCATTGTAGACAAGAAAGGAAGTGGGAATGGTGGTGCTCCAGAAGAAACATGTCTGTAGCACTCTCCTTGTGCTGCCCTACTGATTCAGCCCATACGTCTGGGAAAGCAGCAGTTCACTGGAGCAGCAGCGGGATGAGTGTCTGTGAGTGCCTGCCAGCTGCTGGGCGCCT